CATTATTGACTCCAAGATGAACATGGGCCGACAATTCGAGGTCTCGGTCAGTAGTGCTAACCGTACCGTGTCCTGCATCCGCAGATGCACCTCAAGCAGGGCCAAGGAGGTGATCCTCCCCCTCTATGCGATACTGGTCAGGCTGCAGTTGGACTACTGTGTTCAGTTCTGGGCGCCGCACTTCAGGAGGGATGTGAACAGCATTGAGAGGGACAGCAGGGCAGACCCTACGAAGAGAGGCTATGGGACCTTAACCTGTTCAGCCTTTGCAAGAGAAGGCTGAGGGGGGACCTGGTGGCCATCTATAAACTCACTGCGGGGGACCAGCAGGGAATGGGAGAGACCCTGTTCCCCTTAGTGCCCCCCGGGGTAACAAGGAATAACGGCCACAAATTGTTAGAGTAGGTTTAGACTAGACATCCAAAGGCACTACTTCACAGTCAGGGCGGCTAGGATCTGGAACCAACTTCCAAGGGAAGTGGTGATGGCTCCTACCCTGCGGGTCTTTAAGAGGAGGCTTGATGTCTACCTGGCTGCGGTCATTTGAGCCCGGTTTTCTCTCCTGCCTGGGGCAGGGGGTCGGACTTGATGATCTACAAGGTCCCTTCTGACCCTACTTCTATGAATCTATGAAAGAAACTTTGCTTTAATTAAGCTGAGGGTGTTATATATTTGCATGGCTGCAGGAGCATTCCAGAAAAATTCAGGTATTGTGATCCTTGTGATAAGGTTGCAAGAGCTGACAACACCACAGAAGTGGAAGCACCCTAAGAAACAGAATTCTGAGGGACACGGCACACCACACAGACTTCTTTTCTGCAACATTCACTGTAATAGCTGGGACTCTGTCCCACCTTTTCAGGATCAGCTCAATGATATATATAGCACTAGTTCACGATTCTAATTGCCTGAGGGAGTTGCCTGCCTCCTGGCTCACTTTCTCTTCTCCTTAATAATGCCTATGGCAAGCATAGAATATTACAAAGTACACTTCCTTCTCTAGGGTCTAAAACAAGTGGCCAGGCTTTTAAATGAGATGGTGATTAAACTTGTTTGCAAATTGGTCACTGTCAATGGGAGGTACTGGGTGCTGAGCTCCTGTGGGCAGGTATAGCTGCCAGAAATGGTGATGAGAGCCACCAAACCCCAGTGACTTTGGAAGCTCTCTCTGCTGCTGTGAGAGAGAGGTTACTGGGCTAGATGGGACTGTGGTCTGAGTCCTTTGGGCACTTTTTATGTTCTAATAATGCAGTGACTTGCTGGATCAGGCCCATGGTGCTAACCTTGTCTTTTGAACTACCAAAGAAGCATTAGTCTAATTTTTCCCCCCCTGTGATCAATGGGGTGCCTTCTTATTCTGCTTCATCTGGAATCTGTTTTTATCCAGGAGAATGTGGAATACCTCATTCAAGAGCTGCGGAGACCAAAATACAGCATCTATTTTGTTTGTAAGTATATCCTTTCTAGCCATGTTCTTGGGTCCCTGCATGCATTAAAACTCCTTGACCTCATCTTTTACTGACTACTACCCCAGGTTATTTTTTCTTAGTGCCATATAGCATTACTTGGTTTTGAACAACAGTCTAGTCACAGTTTGTGCTTTGCTTGGTTTGGCTTAGTCCTCTAGAAACTGAAAAAAGGGTCAGGGATACTTCATCTGTTGCAAATCTTGTACAGCAGAACTCAGTTGGCCTCTAGATGTCATTGTCTCTCTGTACAAATGCACTAAAACAGGAGCAAAACTAGGGGGGGGGGATTGCAGCCCTGGGAAAGGTGGTGTTGGTTTAATGTAAATATGATGGGATATAGGGTTGAGGATACATGGTGCTAAGCTTTATATAAAGGTATAATAAGAGATGTACCACTGTTGATCGACTACAACAATGGATCTGGTGCTGCTGATGTGGAGTTTACTATCTAGGCGTGTGTTAGGTGCAGAAAAGGAAGAAAATTGCTCTGATGCTGCTTGTGGAGTCCCGAAACTTATGTGAGAGTCTGTCTCTAGCTCTTTGATTAGGTGTTGAGCTCATACAGAGTAATAGGGAGAAAGGAAGATAGTTAGAGTAACCTTTTTAAAACTGCATTGGTAATCGGGTGATTGTGCCCCAAGGTCAGATTCATGTCTGCTATAGTTTGGGAGCTACTCTTTCCAGTGGAAAGTTCCTTGCTATCTTTTATTGTCCTTGTGCTGTAACTCCTTTGTGTCCTACTTGTCAGTTTTATGCTGCAGCCATTACTTCACTACTGTGCCTTGTCTGTCTTTCAGATTTCAGTAATGTGATTTGTAAGAGCGATGTCAAGTCACTGGCCGAGGCTGATGAACAGGAAGTTGTGGCAGAAGTTCAGGTAAAATCTAATCTCCTAAATGGCTCTCTTCTCCCCAAAGTACTATGAGAATTGACCTACAAATGTATGTTATTTTCCCCCCACCCTGTGGTTACTAGAGCCATTTTTAGGGCTCATGTTGTAACAGCTGACTAGTGCATAGCAATAACACATTATTCCAGGAGTGGAAAGAAAGACATGCATGTAATGCTGCTCTTTCCTCAGGTGCCAGAACTTCTTCATCCATTGCTACAGTCAGTCTCTGTGCTGTAGCAAGGTTGGTGCTTGTCTCTTGTCTTGGTGACTAGCAGGTGTATGGGCAGACAGGGGAATAAAACCCCTATATCAAGGACAAGTGCTGGAAGTTCCAGCAGATGGAGGAATTCTAGTGGTTGGAGTTGAAGGCATGGGGATTGCTAGGAGTTTTCTTCAGCAACTTGAAGAAACTGTCCCTGTATGTAGCATTTTGAGCTGGTATTAACATTTGCTCCCCTAGGACAAAGAGGTGTTGGCAAAGCATTAACTGTATTTGTTTTTGTTCTTTGGCAGGAGTTCTATGGAGACTATATTGCAGTGAATCCACATGTCTTTTCCCTCAACCTCTTAGGCTGCTGTCAGGTATGGAAAAGGCTAATACTCTATCAGGGTTTCAGGTGTGTGTAGTAGCTGAGGCTGAAGGAGACTAGCAGGTGCAACAAATGTGGGACTCGTGTTTGAGCTTCCTGTTTGGGCATCCTGCTATTAGAATTTGCAGATTGAAACTGGGAGGGTGATGGGCTGGCACAGCATGAGTAGTAGCAGTAGTTGGCTATGCTTTACTGTCACTTTATAATTTCAAAGTAAAATTTCATTTATTTAACATAGCTGCTACTCACTGCAACTGTCTCGCTGCAATGGAAAGGAGATATGCTTCATGCAGTACAACTGACATGTAATACAGCCAAGTACAAATATGAACGTAAAAACCCAAAGCATCTAAAATTCAGCATGAGCTTTGTAGGATCAAAGAGTACCCATGTTGTTAAAACCCAGTAAAAAGAGATGATAAAAGTGTAATTAAACAAAATAACTGCTTTTATCTGAACCATCCTTCTTAATGATTATTGTGGAGACCTAAAATTTGCCTTGAGGTTTTTTGTTTGTTTTTTGTTTTGGAATTTTCTTGACTTTTTCCCTATTTCTCTTCATTCTGTATTAGACATGGGAAGTAATGTATAAGACATTTTGGCTAAAGCTGTGTTTCCTTCTCCCCCTCACTGAAAGGATCCATGACCCAAGTGTCTGGTGTTATTTTTCAGGGTCGCAACTGGGATGCAGCCCAGCTATCCAGAACCACTCAAGGGCTGACAGCTTTGCTTTTGTCTTTGAAGAAATGCCCCATGATACGTTACCAGCTTTCCTCTGAATCGGCAAAGAGGCTTGCTGAATGTGTTAAGGTACAGTCCTGTGCTAAAATAATTTTGAATGAGCCTGGTAGTGTGGCTCCTGTCAAAAGTCTGCATCCATTAAGAGGAAGAGTCTAAAGAATAGTGTCTTGGGCACTGTCACCTTGCCCAAGTTGTAACCCCTCTGCTCCTCAACTCCTTCATTTGGCAAATAGTCAGAATACTTGATCCCTGATTCCCACAAGTTCTGTGAAGTTTCCTAGGCAGATAAGTTTCTTCGGGTAAATGTGATCTCTTTTATTAGACCACCTGAATACACTAGTTGGAAAAATTGTTCTTTCTGCTTTTGGGCACAAGCACCCTAGCTTGTAAAGAACAATTTTTCCAACTAGTGTATTCAGTTGGTCTAATAAAAGAGATCACATTTACCCAAAGAACCTTGTATGCCTATGTCCTTAAGGAGGGTGTTGGCTAGAACCATCACTCTCAAAATGGTGATTTTTACTGTAATTAATGGATCTGAGAACTCTAGAGTGTGCAAGGTAGTGTTACATTTGCCATGTTTACTTAAACACTGTTGTGGTCTCTCTTTACCTCTTGCTCACTAGTGCCTAAGACACAGGGAATTTTTTTCCATCTGCAGTTAGGACCAAATGGTTTATCCTTTATTTCCTTCCACAACAGCAAGTAATTACTAAAGAATATGAGCTGTTTGATTTCCGGCGCACAGAAGTTCCTCCATTACTCCTGATTCTGGACCGGTCAGATGATGCTATCACCCCACTTCTGAACCAGGTGAAGTACCTCCTGACCAGCTGGGAGACATGGGGTATAGTAACCAGGGATCCTGAAATGCACATACCTGTCTGGTGCTAGCCTGCACCCCAGAGTTTGGGTTCACAATAGCCTAGGGCAAGGTTTAGATTTTACATGTAAGGAGTCTTTTCCTTAAATTATCTCTGTTGCATTCTGTTTGTCAGAGCCTCTGAATACTCTTGGATTCTCCTGGGTTCTGTGGCAGATCAAACAAGCTGAGTAATTTTCAAGGGTTCTCATGTTTTGTAAAACATGGCTTTCTGTGTAGGGCCTAAACATCGTGGCAATGCTCTTCCCAACTGTTTATTTGCAAAGGACATTTGGCAGCACACTTATCAAATGACCTTGCATTACCTTGTTCCTTGTGCTGCGTTATTGATGAGTGTTAGCATTTACTGGGTGGCTATTGTGATTTCTCTAGCTGCTCTGCAGACTTTGGCATTGAACAGTCTATTATGTGTCTCCTTTCATTTCTCTGGGATGTGCTCAGACACTAGCCAGCTTGGTGGTTAGGTAATGGCTGGAGCTGCAGCATTGTTAACTCAGAGGGCAGCTAAGGCTTTTGTGTTGCTAGTGAGAGTTATTTAGAACTGAGGACTGCTGGAATTCTGCACTTTCTGCCATGAAGAATTTCAGCTTCTTTCTCCTCTTGACCTCTACTATTCTTAAATTCCAACAGTGGCATGAAACTCAACCTCTGGTATTGGTTTGACCTATGTTTTAAGAGTTACACAAGTCCCAGTCTAGTTTTCATGGCTGCCTATAGACATGCTTGTTCTTGTTTTTAATTTAAAACACTCCAGTATCATCATACTGTTGCATGTATTAAGCCCCACCCCCCACATTTCAAAATGGTGGCAGGGGTGCTTTAACTAAACCTTGTCAAATGAATTTTAGTTAAAGTGATCCCACGGCCATTTTGAAACCTGGCCCGGGTTGGGGGGAGTGGGGGGTTAATACACATGACAGTGAGCTGTTTTAATTAGAGTGACTGTCTGGGAGCCACTCTAATTAAAATGCACCTCCCCCCCACCCCCCTCTCTGAGCATGTGTTTAGGTAGCCCATGGGTTCTCCAAACCACCATCACAATGGACACTAATTTCTGTTAAACTCAAAGGACTGAGGCAAAATAGTGTATAGGTTGTGAATGCCCAATCCCTCTTCTTCTAACAGGTAAAATATTATTTGCCTCTGAGCTGGTTATACCAGTGCTACTATCTAATCTGCATGCACCACTGGTCCAGTTTATTGTGTAGAAGGGACTTCGTGTCTAAAGCTCAGCTCAAATACAAGCTGTATTTGTGCTGTAGCTAGTTTCTTGCTGCAGTTGTCTTGTGCATAGGTGGGTCGTAAAGGTGCCATGTCTGGACATGTGTGCTCTCAACACTCGCCCTCTAGTGAAAGAAAAGCTGCCCATGTTTGCCTGTTGAGTGATTTTTTTTAAATTTTTTTTTGTTTTGTTTTTTGCCCAGCCTTAATAAAAGGGTACAGACATTTTTTTTTCTCAACTGTCCTTGATTCTTCTGGCTCATTGACTGAGAGCAATATGGCAGTGTTAAAAAAATCAAGCTGGAACTGTGGGCAAGGCACCAAAATATGTTGCCTGCTGCACAGTCATTGTTTCCAAACCCAGTGCAGAGGTTCAGAGAAATGGATCGACAAGTATGTCAGTGCTTTGATCAGCTTGCAGACTTTCCTTCGAATTTATATTAGTCTTCCCAGGATAAATATAGCAGTGCACTGATGTGCAAAAACGCACACTCCTGCTGCGTAAGAAGCACCGGAGCATGTAGGAAATGGTACAGCCTGTAACTGCAGCATCTCTGCAGCCAAAAATACCCTCTGCTGTGCAGGCAGAGGACGATAATCATGGCAAATGTATTGGTTCCCTATTTCCTGTCTTCCAGAAGCTTGTCTCAAATACAAATGCAACAAGCTGTCTGGGGTAGAAACTGTTGCTGGTTTACCTGTACGTTGCGTAGTGCAACAAGCTGTTGGTCTCTTGCTGAAGATTCTTGTGTGCTAACTCAAACAGAAATCATGGTTCTGGGGATTGTTTGTTTGTTTGTTATAAAGTTTTATACTCTTTAAAAAGGGGAAAATTCCTGCCAGAGAACTGTGGCTATGGTTTGGTGTTTAGTAACATTGGGTCTAACTTTTTTTAATTTGCAGTAAGCCCTCCTTTATTTGAGTAAAGCTTCCCAAAAGTAAGCAGGGCCATACATCACAAGCAGGTGATGGCCTGGCTCTCTTTGCACTGCCTGAATGGCATAAAGTTGTCTTAGCATTACTGGGAGTGCGGTGTGGTGTTTTGCACCCTGGATTAGTTTGTGCTCCAAGTGAAACTTTTTTTTTTTCTCCCCTCCTCCTTAGTGGACCTACCAAGCTATGGTTCATGAGCTGCTGGGGATTAACAACAACCGTATCGATCTGTCTCGAGTACCTGGAATAAGCAAGGATCTGAGGGAGGTAGTTCTGTCTGCGGAGAACGATGAGTTTTATGCCAATGTAGGTGTCAGGCTTTTGGGAAGGGGGTCAATTCAGGTGGTTGAAGTTGGGGCTCAGGTTCTGTTCTTCATTCTGCTGCTGAATTGTTGTGTGCCTTTCCCCTCTCCTGTGTGTTTTCCCCTTTTTTTGTAGAACAAGGATGATGGCATTGGCCTATTACTTGGGCAGGTGGTGAAAGTAAACAGACACATAATGTCTTAGGTGGCTCCTGCTGTCTTTGTTTCCCTAAATGTACTTACTACTTTTCCCTTTTGAGCTGAAGTTTGGGGAAAACAGTACAGCCTTATAGAGCTTTGGGAAGAGAGGCTGGTGTGTTTTTTTTCCATTTAGGTTGCAGCCCCCATCAGAGCAGCCTGCCCTCCAATTTCCCTCCTCTGTCACACACACAGAACATGTATCTGAACTTTGCTGAGATTGGCAGCAATATCAAGAACCTCATGGAGGATTTCCAAAAGAAGAAACCCAAGGAGCAGCAGAAGCTTGAGTCCATAGCAGACATGAAGGTAAAGAGGATGCATAGCATTAACCCGATTGGTTCATGTCCTGTTACTAGTAACATTATGTTGAGGCAGGTCCCAACATGCTCCATGAGCCAACTCATGTTGTATGTCTGTACATAGCTTGTGAGATTCTGGTTGGTGAAATGGGCTCCTTGGTGCTACTTCTGAACAGTGGAGCTCTAGCTGCAAGGAGCCTCGAAGCTTCTCTGGGCTCCTGAACTTGGGGTCAAAGGGAATGTTGTCCCAGTTGCTTTACATTGGTGTAAATCAGGAGTAGTTTAATTGAAGCCTCCATTATTGCACCAATGTAAAACCAACAGATATTAATAGGTGCCTTCTGTGCTGCCTTGCTGACACATTTTTGCTCCTATTTTGAAAGAACTTTGTACTTGGGTTTCCCATTTTCAGGCCTTTGTGGAGAACTACCCGCAGTTCAAGAAGATGTCAGGCACGGTATCGAAGCATGTGACAGTGGTGGGTGAGCTCTCCAGGCTGGTCAGCGAGCGGAACCTGCTGGAGGTGTCAGAAGTTGAGCAGGAGCTAGCTTGTCAGAATGACCACTCGAGCGCACTCCAGGTACTAGAGGCCCGGCAACCTAACCTCCATGATCTTTGTCCATTTCCAGAGGGGCAGCTTAGACAGCTCCTCTGCTTGTGGAAGTAGTATTAGTCAGTGGGAGCTCTTCACATAAATGTGTCATAGGGTTGGGAACCTCGGATACCAGAACTGGCTTCTCAGCTCCTACCCATTCAGTTCAGATGCGTATGAATCATAGTTAATAATTATCTTGAGAAGCTGTTGCACTCCGCAAGCCAAAATCATCTGGCTGTGCTCAGTTGATATATTCAGACTCTCCCCGGATATTTCATGTAGAGAAGGATCTTGGATTACAACTGTTGGGCTGTTGTTTTGTTATGCATCCTACTTCTTGTAGCTAATTTCCAGCAAGGGGTGGGAGTAAGTTTGATTTTTTTTTTTCTTTTCTTATTTATTTCCCCCCACCCCACTCCACGGTAGATTCTTGGCTGCTTACTGAAACCTGCAGAATTAATGTGCTGGGGAACAGGGCGTGGCTGTGGGAATTATTCTTGGTATCTATGGCCTTGTCTATGCTGGGTGAGGGTGGTCACTCTTGGAACAAGAATCCCAAGTCAGATTTTCCAGCCCAGAGGCAAGACTATTATTTCTCAGTCCCTCAGGATAGTGTCTGGGCTTCTATGAGTCTTGGTTGTGTCTAATGTGAGAGGGCATATGTAATCTGCAGTATTTGCATAAAAACAGCCGTGAGAGAACTGCAGCGGTCTGCCTGGCACTAGATTTGTTACAGGACAGATGCACCATGCATACAGTTGACTAAATGGACATTGTCATTAGCATGTTGGGAGTCCCTCCCTAAGTGGTAGAGTCAGTCTGGAGATGATTACGATAGGAATCTGAACAATTTTCTCTTTCTCACTTATGCTGTTTTGTTTTGTGTTTTCCACATCTGTCATCCTTGTATGAAAGCAGAATTTTTTCGTACAACACTGTAGGTGTATGTGGTGCATTGTCGGTGACTAGACTGGCTGGGTTTCACATGATAGTTTTGGCCTTGATTGCGCAGCAGATTTTATGTCCATGGAACCTGGGACCCACGCTAAATCTCAGTTATTTCACTGAGGCTGCCTATGGTTTCAGGGCTCCAGCTGCAAAAAAAATCTCATTGTCTCAGTCAGTTGCATTGATTCTCCTGCATTACATTATTGTATCGGGGTTCGCAAAACCACAAGGCTCAGTTCCGTTCATCAAGGGCTCCTGATCTCTTCATTAAACTTCTTATTTATTAAATCTTATAAAACCTTCTTATATTTTGAACAGACTTAAAAGGAGCAGAGCTCTTGATTGCAGCTCTTGGGCACTTTGTGTACAGTGCTGGTAAAGGGCAATTAACAAGGGTCATAATTTTATGATTGGGTTGGTGAAAGAATGAACTCATACAGAGAGCTAATGGATTATTTTGAACTGCACAAGTTAAAACCAAAATCACCATCTGTGAACAGAGTGTGGGAGGGTGGTGGGAGGAGGGACCCCATGTCTGATTATTACCCTTATTTGGAGTGTCTTTTCCAGTGTGGAGCTGCATAAATAAAGGATGCCTTTAGCAAATGGGCTCAACTTTAAAAAGAATCTCCTTGTCTGACATCTGAGTGTAGAGTGAAGTTTTGACCCCATGATGGCTTGTCAAATTCCATGACCTGCCCCAGAATCTGTCAGTACGTCAGTAGTGATGAACTGAGGTTGTTGACTCCTAACAATACTGCCATTTTTTTGGGGGTGACTGTATTGTGATACATGGAGAAGTCATGCAGAGATGCAACACTTGTCCTTGTGAAAACGATGCTGATCTGCGCACTGCAAACAGGCTTTTCTAAAAAGGATTTTGTTAAAATGGAAGCTTTATATTGTAATGGACTCCTTCGCACCATAGTAAGTAGGAACCTCTGACTAGAAAGCTAAAGATCAGGATCTTAAATAGATTTGAAAAGCATTTCTTTTTAGCCTGTGTTATTCAGCGTCATGAGTGGGTGGCTCTGTGATAATATCAGCACTGCAAATAGTTTAATCCTTGGGCCGGATCCTTGAACGTGGTAAGCCAGTGTAGTGCTGTGGAGATCAGGGCAGTGATACTGATTTGTGCCAGCTTAGGAGCAGGGTGAGTGTTTTTATATTTGGTATGTCCTGATAACTGCTTATTGAAATGGCACTTTAGCTATAAAAAGATGGGATGTAAACAGCCTAGAATCTGTTGCTTTACACTGTCTCATTGTTCCTAGGTCCAACTCACTCCATTTTATAAATCCAATGTTGATTTATCTGTCAGGCCTGTACCCCACCCTCTTCTTGGATTGCTCAGCCTCAGCAGG